CCCCCCCCCCCCCCCGCCCTTTCCCCCTCCCCCCCCCCCCCCCCCAACGCTGAATCCATCTGCTTATTTCTTGAACGCTCAAACTCGCAAAACAGATGCTGAAGATTCCCGCTTCAAGGTAAAGCAGGATCAGGCGCCGGCTCTTCGTTGGTGGCGTTCCGGCGCTAGGACCCAGCGGCAGGGCTTGCTACACCTGTGTCGAGGGCGGCGAAGTTCCCCACTGCCTCGCCTGAGGTCGGCTGCAGGTGAGAAGTCAGGCAGGCAGGCCGGCAGGCGGGCGGTTGCCCCTCCCTTCCTCGACCTCGCCGGCTCCATCCCCCGCGACGAGCTTTGCGCGTGAACTCGCTCCTCCGAGCCGACCTCTTCCCGAGCTCTTTCTGGGTGAGTCTCTGCGCACCTCTTTGTGTCTCTCGGGGTCTGGCCGTGGCGCGACCTCTGCGAGTCTCGTTAGACTTTGGGGCACACGCTCGGCGGCGCCTTGCTCTGGTCTGGACGGCGCGTGGACGCTGCGCGCTCAGCGGCTTCTTTCCAGGATGCGGGCGGTGGGGGGCAAATGGAGCTGCGAGCCCGGGCGAGGAGCTCCGGCGTTGGGCCGTTCGTACCGGTGGGCTTTCGCTGGAGAGAGAGATATCAAGCCCGCCCTGGCTAACTACATCTTTACCCTTTTCTTCAGTTTTCTTTCGTTTCCAAACCCCCGGAATCCTGGGTTTAATTCTAGCCTGCGACCGGGGGATCAGGCTGAAATAGCCGGGAACCGAGTTTACTTAGTTTGTTGGCCTGTTGAGGGGGAGTCGCCGCGGCTTACAGTTGAGGAGAAACCTAAATCACTTTTGGTCTCTGTTATAACTTAACCTCAACCTAGAAGGGTGGCACTTAACTTTTTCCGTTTCCTTTATTGCTTCCTATTTCAGTCTTCTTTCGCACTGCCATTTTGTGCTCTTAGGACAACTTTTCCCAACCCAGTGCTTTCCAGATATATTGGGACTGTAAGTCCTGGTATGCCTAACCTGGATTTTTTTTTAAGGCATTGTAATTGGGGGAGGCTGCCTGAAAATAGCTCACACCCTGGCCAGAGAAAAGGAAATGGTGCCACTGAAACCATCCATTTGCAAGTCCCAGCCACATCAGAGGAGCGCCTGGGGAGGTAGTTATCTAACAGTGCCCTTAAGTGGGGTTAAACTTGAAAGCCTTATGTAGGGCAGGAAGATGCATTAAAGGGTAGTAAAGCTGTGCTTGCTTGCTCAGCTCATTCTGCTGAGTAGGACCCTGGTTGTCTATCCAACCCTGCCAAACTATCTTTGGGTGGCAGGCTTTTAAGCAATATAACCTTGTGCAAAGAATGCTTGAGCTGAAATAGAATGTGTGACTTGCACTGATTGTGAAAATGCTCAGCAGAGTTGGATCTCTATTCTACTTGGATGGGAGACAACCAGGAAACCCTAGGTCTGTAGATGAGACTGGGTTATTGAAAGCCATCCTGGAAGAAGACATTGGCAAACCAGGTCCATATTATTGTGAAGAAAACTGTATGCTACGTAGTTGCCTGTAATCAAGCCCAGCTTAACTGATGGTCTCTGCCTTTATACTACAGGTATCACTTTTAGATCTGTTAGCACGGTGTCATTTGCCTTGAGACAGAGTCAGTGGCTGTTTAGTCCCTCATTAATATCAGTTGCACATGCATCTAAATAACGTGTTGCAAGTTCAAAAGTCCCGAGGAACTCAAAAAACAGTTCCTGGACTGTGTCAGTAATGGTTGAAAATCATATATTTCTTTAATCTAGACACAACGAACTCTAGGTTTTTAGCAGCTAACTGGGACTTCCCAGTAGCATAATAAAACAAAACAGAAACTCTGAAAAATTATGTTTAGATAAGAGCTTTCAGTTTTCTTTTAACTGTAGCAATAATTTTGAGGTAGCCCTTCATGTATAATATTACGATAATTCTTATTTTAGGAAAACCATGAAGTGTAAGGGAGGTTGGTAATTATTGTTACTGCTGTAGAAAGGAGGTGAGAAAGAATGACTTGCTGAAAGCCACTAGTTAACAGCTGAAGCAGGACATAAATTGTGGACTTTAAGGGAGTCTGAGAGAGACTATATGTTACGGGATATCATGCGGCTATATCTTGATTTTTCTCAGGTGAATCACAGGATTGGGTGGAATTATTATTTTATTGACTCTTAGCCTTTAACTCTCCAGTCATGATGGGAATAGAAATAGTGTGTCATCCCCGCCACTCCCCCATCCTATGAGCAGAGGAAAGTTCCTCAAGAGGAGACACTCCTATACATACAGAACATTACAGGTAGCTAGAGGGAGCCAGTGAGTTACCAAAAGTTGGGCTGAGTCTGTGCTATGACTTGGCATTGGAAACTTATCAGCAGGAAAAATAGTTTGGGGGACACAAAATATAAACAGCTAGTATTTTAGGTGTAGATTCTGCTCATGGTAGAGGATGTTTGAACAGAAGCATTGTGAGAAGTGGTCTCACTTTCTCAAGGCTGCTTACTTAAAATGAAAGCGAACCAACTGGATCCCCAATTAAGTAAAGCAAAAGGAGCAGAATTGCACGGACAAAGAAATAACCCACCTTGCCTTTGTTCAAAGATTCAGCAGCTTCATCTGAAGCAATTACCACAGTGTTCCCCAAAATTTCTGCAGTTGTGAGACACTATTAAGAAAACGTGGGGATCACATAATTAAACATAAACCCTCTCTCCATGTTTATGTCTAAGAGTATGGAAGTTGACATTTGCTTGGTGAATAAAACACTGGTAATAGTTGCATCTACATATGTCTTCCCGCCCCCGCCCCCATTTTAAAGGGGTTTTTAAAACTGTCTTACCAAGGATGTAATCCAAATCAAGCTTCAATTATGGCTTGAGGCAGAGGCTGGGGTGGCAAGTAGACTCTGGTTAAGCTGACTGCCAAGGGTCTTCCAGTGACGCTGAAGGTCAGCTCTGGCTGGTGATTTGGGGTTGCTGCAGCGGAGCCCCAGTGGGCCCCCCCCGAGAATCGCTGCATTAGCAGGTAATCCACATAGTGATGGTAGGAGGGAGAAGCACCACAGGAATGGAGAGTCCTTCCTCTTAAAAGTTAAATGTATAAGTGACATTAAAGAGTGAAAATGTAGATCTGGGGCCCTAAGAGTAACTGTTCTGTATTGTGGGGTTTTGTTTTATATGGGCCCACATAGCTTCCCCTTTTTTCCTTATCTGTTTTTGGTAGTATGTTTTATGTATTTTACCAAAATGCATAACAAAGAAAAACAGACTCAGTTTTGGTTCCTTCTTATTTTTTTGGTTGAACTCTCCAGATGCTTTGGCATCTGCATATTATTTCCTGAACATTAACGGTTGCCTACATAGCTTACGTTTTTTTTTTAAAACCCTATTGATTCCACACTCCGTTATTGATTTATGCAAAACAGAGTCAGCTATTATAGCAAACCAATTACTTACTTGTTTTTAGTACTTGTTTCTGAGCAGATTTGCACGGCATTGTCCTATTAATAGATTTTATAGATATGCTTTTTTACCAGTTTCTACAACCAGCCCCAAAAGTTCTAAACATGTAAGTTGGGATCTACGAATGACTCGCCATTTCTAGATCAGGGTCACCCAAGCTAACTACATTTAGCAATTCCTAATCCTGTAAAATTCGAAGCAAGATACTGTGCCAAGTTTACCTGATGTAGCCATTTGTTAAGAATATAAAATGTATTTATACTGCCAAGGCTCACAAAGGCTTTTTTTGTGAGTGTATAATATGCATTACATGTCTATGATGTGATCCATGAAGCATGTATACTCTGTAACCAGGAAGTGCACCAACATCACTATGGAGCCTGAATATGGTTGAAGGAGTTAGGCTGGGCAGCAAATATCCTTAGAAGTTGTCCTCCCTTCTCTTCCTCTGCCCGAACATATAATCCCAGTTCAAACCCAACAGCCTACATCTCAGGGGAAGTTATAATGCGCTATTTCTCTCAAGGTTTTGCCAAATAACTTGCCTTTAAAATGTAAGAGTTGTCTTAGATTAGCTGAGAATATCGTAATGGAGGTAGATCTTTTTTGCCTGTCCTTCCCACGGCAAAGAGGTGGTCTTAAATTCAGGGCTCGGATATACATGGTGAGCAAGGCCCAACTATTAAAAGATAAAGAACCTCAGTCTCTGATGTCGTCTTCTACTTGTCCATATAGTCTTCATGGCAACAATATGGAAATGAGAATATGACCCTCCGTGGGGTTATTTCCAACTTGCTGATCTAGCCTCCATTCTGGGATTTTCCAATGGTCTCCCATACATGGAGTACAGTTAGGTCTGAGTTAAAACCAGCTCAGTGCTGCCACCTGCTGATATATTTGATTACTACATACCACCAACTGGCCAGTTCAAGCAGCAGGTGTTGGGTTCTGACCCCATTTTTCTACTCTGGCAAGCACTCCAGGTGGCTAACAAAATTTAAGAACAACCGTTTATTTTTTAAAAGAAAAGACTAAAATTTTAGTATTTTATTTAGTAAAAGAAATACTAAAATCGTCTAATAAGTAAAACCCTGACAGAAGAGACACGTCTTTATGGTGTTTCTAAATGCTGAAGAGAACAAATGTCAGCTCCTGAGGAGAACGAAGTTACATTTTTCAAACGATTTGCTCTCCTTCCCCAAAGGTAGCCTCTTCTCTTGGGCGCAGTTAAGGAGGCTGCCTCATCACCATCCTGAAGTAATATGCAATCGTACCAGTTGGCAGGAGTGTCCACAGTGTAAGGACAAAAAGGATAAAATGGGGGCCATGATGTTGCAATCAGAGCTCCACCTGTTTTTTTATGCGTGCCACCTGTGCGCATAAAAAACATGCCGAGTTTCAGTGGTGCATTGTGGCCAGTAAATTGACTTTTTTAATCTAGCGGATGCTTCTCTCAATTGTCTTCCATATGGTGTCTGGGTGACGTGATTTTGTTTCTCATCCTGAACATCAAATTATCTTGGGCTGTTTCTGATGTAAAAGTTCTAATGTCAGGTCCACACAATTTGACAAAAATAAAACTCCAGTTGGGAAGGGAGGTCAGGTCATTGTAGTCACCAGAGGCCGAGGCTGTTGTCTTGAGTACCTTCTGAGCTATCTTGAATATCATTGTTGTGACTAAATCTAAATGAAACTTCTTGCTTAGAACATTTATTTATTTGTCACATTTATATAGCCGCCCATCTCACACAATGTGATTCTGGGTGGCGTACAACAATTAAATAAAATAACAAGTGAATAAAAACAAGCATTATAAAAAGATAAAAAGTTACTAAAATAAAAACATTATCACAAATTTTTAAAGAATTAGATTTTGAAATCTACAAACCCCATGGAGAGAGTAGAATA